ACAACAACAACAACAACAACAACAACAACAACAACAACAACAACAACAACAACTACAACAACTACAACAGCACCAACAGCATTAGCATAAACATAAACACAATAGCAACAACATAACATAAACACAATAACAACAACAACAACTGTAGCAGCAGTAGTAGCAACAACAACAACAACAACAATAAAGAATAAATAATAACAGTAATAATAATAATAATAGAAATAATAACAATAGTAGTAATAACAATAATATTAGAATTATAATCATAATAAAAGCAACACAAATAGCAATGGCATTAACAACAACAACAACAACAACAACAACAACAATGACAACAACAACAACAGTAACTATAGCAACACCAGCAGCAGCAGTACCAGCAGCCACAATTAACAACAACAACAACAAAGAGAGAAACAGTTACCAAGGATGAGCAGGACGCCTTTGCCATAAGCCAGCGCTATGAAAGCTGCAAAGGAGAAATAACGTAACGCCAACATAATTGTCAGACCCAACTCCTGATTTTGTCAGTGTAAGAAACAACTCCTGACTCTGCCACACAAAATTATTTCTAATTCTGTTACTGTCAAAAACAACTCCTGATTTTGCGAGAAACAACTCCTGACTCTGTCGGGCACAATTTTTCCACAGAAGGCAACGAGTGCCAGATGAGCTCTACGGCTGGTATACCAGATATAGATTCTAATATTGAAACTTTTAACTGACGAACTAAAACGCCGATAAAATGCACTCATTGGATTTGATATAGCTTATCCAGACATAAGCATAAAAAAGAAAAACGGCTGATAAAAGTGTGTTATCTCTTTCGATTATTTTGCTTGTGTATTTAAAAAAAAAAAAAATCTAATGATACGAGTGGTACTTAAATTTTGTCACTTTATCATTCTGACGCTGTCAACGCGGGGAAAAAACAATGAGCGGCTGTTGTAGCACTCAAAAGTGTTGTAAAATAATATTTGTGAAGCGCGGGTGGTTGGAAGGTGTCACTGGTAGGTATATTTCAAATTTCTTTCTTTGCACTCTGTTGTCTCTGTCTGTGCGGGTGGTTGGAGGGTGACTCTGGTAGGTCATATTTCCTTACTTACCCTCTGAACGGGTGGTTGGAGGGTGCCATAATTGTATGCATGATATGTACTTACACGAGAGAGA